CTACCCAAAATTTGGGCTTGTGCTGGTGAATTTGAAGTTTTTTTGGATGATGTAAAACAATTCATTGAGAATGCTAGGTCACAATCTGTCAACACTGAATTTGTAATGGAAAATAATAATTTTCACGGTTATGCTGTTTGCAAACTTTTGGATAGAAACAATGGTGCAAAAAATACTTGTAGACACATTGGAAGATTTTTATTTACTAATTGATTAATCTATTAAAGAAAGATGAAAAAAGGAAGAGAAAGCAAAAAGAAAAGGAGGAAGTGGTTTTATTGGTTAGGTTTTTGATCAAGTTTTGGAAATTAAAAAAATCAAATTATTAATATTTTTTTTGGAGAGGAAGTAGTGGTTTTTTGAATTTTTAGAATTGATTTTTCATTATTATTTTTATTTTTTAAAAAGTTAATAGATTTTTACATAGAATCATTTAATCATTCATTCATATTCATTTTAAAAGTAATAATAATAATAATTAATTTTGGCGGTTTTTTTTCACTTCATTTTTAGTATTTAAAATCAAGTTTTTAAATAATTCTTTACTTATCATTTATCATTATTATCATTTACTATATATCATTTATCATTTATCATTTATCATTTATCATTTATCATTTATCAAATTTTTTCATTCATATATTTAACATTTTTCATTATTATTGTCATTTATCATTATTATTATTATTGTTATTATGTTTTTAACCCTCCAAAATAAAATAATGGCATTTTTAATTCAACTTTATTTTGTTATCATTTACAGTTGCTACGTTTGAATAATCAAAATTAGAAGAGATCCAAAGAAGCAAGTATTAATGATAGATTTAGTGGTTTCTTGGAAATTCTTTTTTTCTAGTTTATTACTTTATTTAGAATAATTGTACGTGTAATGATGTAATTTTTCATATCTCCTCCCACTTGTGGACCAAAAAATTGCAAAAAAAAGAATCATATCCGAATTCAAGGGTTGAAGTTTTGTTTATAAATTTTGTTTTGCAAATAAGATTGTAATTGTTCAAAATAAAACCGGATCAAACATCTTTATTTTTAACTACAAAAACTACCATTTAATCATTTCAAATTTCTTTAATATTAAAAAAAAAAAGATCTTTGAGCTAAAAAGAAAGAGAACAAGACAAGAGTAAGTAAGTATTGTTTTTTTAAAAAGGGTGGTTGTGCGCATTTTCGTCATGCTAGTTATGATTATATAAAAATAATAAGAATTTAGAACGTTCGATATCATCAAGAAAGAAAGTTATAAAATGAAATGTACAAAAAGATAAAGGGGCTTGATGCCCTTTTAAATTGTCATTCTCTTTGGAAAGTTGTAAAAAGTGCTACATAGCAATAAATGAAAATATACAAACAGACGCCAAGTAATAAAGTATTTTAATTAATGATAGAGGCAAAACTAAAGGGATTTCCCATTTTAAAGAAAGAATTAAGGGAAATCTCTTATATTATAATTACCATAAAAATTCTTTTAAGTAACGTAATAATAATATAGAATGCCCCCACATAACATTAGTTGCAAAAAGAGAACGGAGTTTTTATTGTTGTTTCCAAAAGGAACGGACGGAATCAATATCATAGTTATAATTAGAAATGTTTGTCATTCTAAATGAATATGTTGTGAATTTATAAATTTGTAATCATAACTCAAAAAATCTCCACCACATAATAGTACTATATACTATTATTTTTAAATCGTCGGAATGTTTTTGAAAAAATAAACATCTTTAGAAAATATAAAGCAAAAATAAAGTTATTTCCGATGCTATGATGTGAAACCCGAGCTTGACTCACGGTGATGTCAGCTATAGAATTTAAAAATTTAATACAAAATTATATTTATTAGGATAATTACATGTTAACGAAAGAAAGAAAAAACAAACAAATTATTGTAATAATAAATAATAATGATTCAATGCTTAATTAGTCAAATTCAGATTGATGCTAAATATTCGTTAATTCATCAATTATTTATTTTCTCTTGTCTCCTTTAACAGTGTTTACTATTTGTAGATGTACTCTTTGCATATATTGCTATTGTATCATCAGAAGATAAGGAATCGAAATCAAAAGAGACGATTATATTAATGCCGTAGTTACTATAACAAACGCCAATACCACCACCATCATTGGTTTGTTTGATTGGTCCTTTCATGGTAATGTTTATTTTGGTTAACTGAATCTGATAGTTGCCGATGCAAAACTGATGGTTGCCGATGTAAAACTGATGGTTGCCGATGCAAAACTGATGGTTGCCGAAACAAAACTGATGGTTGCTGAAATAAAACTGATGGTTTAATACAATCATGTTCGGTATTATTATGAATTACAGGGATGTGGCATCTCCCCCCATCTTCGCTATTACTCTTGATAGTTTGTAGATGCCGTTTCATTTATCTTATTTTTTATAAACAAGCGTGATTTGTAATGACGATGTAATACTTGACAGTTATTTTATGATGGTAAAGATGTTTCTGGTGATTATGTATATAGAACCGTTTATCAACTAATATTCAGTTTCTTTAATAAAACTGAAATTAACAGTTCACTAATTAATTAAATAAATTAATATGGATAGCTTTGCCAACTAGCGATGGTTTTATAATATTATATGATTGTTTTACTGCAATGTTGTTATTAAGCAGGTTACCATTCAGAAGAGAGTTATTAGAGGGAATTTAAGGTGTTTAAATACTTCTTATGTTTCACTAAAATTGTGAGATAAAACGCGAAACTTTAACTCGTGTAACATTTAAAAAAACAAGTTTCGCTAATTCTGGATGCTTATATATACCATGAGAAAGAATCTCATGTTCCTTAGATTATACAGATAATCTTTTGACTAATTTTATGTAATCTCTCTTTTTTTTGAAAGAGAAAGAAAAGAATTGAATTGATTAGAGATGGGTGTACCAATCAATAGAAAATCATTCTTTAGATAAATATATTTTTTTTTTGTGTGTGTGAATTTTCATTATTTAGATAAATGTTTTTTGTGCATTTTCATATCAATAAGTAAAAGCCATTCTTTAGACGTTTTTAGATGATTTTAAAAGGTTTAAAATCAGATGGCTAAATTTAGAGTGTTGGACGCCTGATAGATAACCGTATTTCTATATCAGTAAATGAAAAATCTTCTTTGGATAAATTTAATGAAATATCATTTTTTAGATAAATATTTTTTCCAATAGGTAAGATAGAAAAATTATTTTAGAATTCTTAGAAACAATTTATTATTGTGTAATTTTTTAAAAATTTTTTTAACTTCAACACTACAATACTATTAGTTAGAATACAATATATTCCGTTGTTTTAACATTTTTTCTGCATCATAAAAGAGAGATTTCATTCGCCACTACATAGTTATCTCTGCAGTCTTCAAACTATTTCTGAATATGCTTAATCTTCTTTACTCTACTGCACAGCTTGAAATAGACAAACAAATTTAATTTATTGAAATATTAGCAGGTATTGTAAGAGATTTATCCAATAAATATGCAAGTTAATCTCACCATTTAATTTCAAACCAAGATATATAGACCAGTAAATTTTCAAAAGTATTGTTAATTCTCTGACTGCTGGATAACAACAATCATATCTTCTGCGAGTGCCTCCTAAATGAAAATATTTTAAATAAATTCTTTTTAAAGAAAAATTTCTGATTTTAATTTTTATCATATTGATATAATTATCTAAACTACACGTTTCAAATGTTGTGTAGTTAATTCTGCTTTTTAAAATTAAATTTTAATTATGGCTATCTAGTTAAAGAAAATTATGAATTAAATGTGAAATTTTGTAACGCGTAATATCATCGCAAATATTCCAGGGTTTAAATTTTATAAATAAATCTAGGAGATATAAAAAAGATCTCGAATAAAGCTAATGTTGTTTATAAGTTTCATTTAGTGGTCTCCATATCTTTAAATAAAATATTGAATTGTAGAATATTTATTTAATTTGTTTATAATTTCCTTCTCAAATATCATCCACCATCCGGTTGTTTTTTATCAAAACCTTGCTTTTACTAGAAAATAATTCAAAATTAGACTGGCGCATACGTTCAGCGATCAATGGTTTCATCAGCTTTCTTTTCTTCTCGTCATGAGCTGTTTGCGTTTACACTTCCTAAAGTAATTAGTTTTCTTTGTCAATCAAAATTTCACGTGACAGAAAATGGTCTAATGCTGGAACACGTAATGCAAAAAAAAATAGGAAATTGTTGGTTATGGTTTGTTTTGTTATTTATCATAATGATTGTCCTCTTTGTGGAAAACTGTTAAATTTCTGTGAACAGATATATTAGAAAATTCTTGGCTTGCAGGATAAAAAAGAGCATGAATAACCAAAGGTTTACATATAAATTATATCATCAGCGAAAATAATTTATTATATTTATTATTTATAACAAGCAAAGCTGAACTGAGTTATACTAAGGTTGGGTGACAAAATGTCTCATTTTCTTCACATGCCAAAAATAAATGTAAAAAAATAAACTCATGATGTCAAATATTAATTAGCAGTTAAATTATTCTCAGTTGTTCTACATAATGATGGATATGAATGCATATATAGGGAGACTGCTAAATTCATTCTTTTTATCAAAGCAATATTAAAAAAGAATTAGAAAATGCCGGCCAGACTTTATCAAAAAGGATTTAAAGAGTGTATTGGTTGAATCAGAAGTTAATTTGGATGGTGGTTATATTGATGATGATGAGAATATGGAATTGGAAAGCCATAAAGATTGAAATGATGATGATAATAATAAAGTTCACGAATCAATGAACGAAAATTTATTTTCGGAAATAGTAAATGAAGAAGCATTTCAACAATCACAAATTCTGTAGAAAGCCGTGAAATGTGAAGCAGTAATTACTACTAAAACTTTACATACAAAAATTAAGTATCCACGATTTATGATACTTTTGTCATTTTTGTCACACGTTCCCGATGAAATATTTTTTACACTCCAAAATGTTTTCGTCGCCCAACCTTAGCTTAAATTCGGCTTAAACATAGAAAAGCACTAATTCAAACTCATCTCGAACTCAAAAACCAAGTTCAAGTTGAGCTTGAGCAACTTGAAATTTTATAAACCATTATAATTGTAGGAGTAAGACAATAATAGAAATATCTTTACTATAATGGATTGTGTATTTAAGTCATCATCCGACAGACTAAAAATTTCAAATGATCTATTATTTGTGCTTTTTATAAAAAATGTTATTAGGTTCTGAAGTATATGCATACAAACATCTTTATTATTATTTAGTTGAGCTGAATTACTTGTTTACTCAAGTTATTCATTATATTCGATTCATTTATTCATTCATTCAAACTATTTTGAATTATTTGTTTATTTATTTTATTTGATGTAAAAACAATAATTTAAAGCAAACTTTATTTAAACAGAAACACAATGTTGAGCAGATTCAAATTAAAACTTGAATTTTTAAGTTCAAGAAAATAGGCTCTTAAACTGTTTTTTAAGTAATTAATTTGATAAATAAAATAAAATATATAGTATAATTATTTGTTACTTAAAAAAAAAAAAATATTAAACTTAATTTATCAAGTCAAGTTGAGCCTATTGTTTTTTGATTTGAACTTGGCTCAAACTCAAAAAATTCGAGTTTCAACTTGAGCCATCTTGGCTTGTTCAGAAGAATGTTTAAAGAGAACAAATAACCTTTAAATATAATAATCTTTAATTAAAAAATTTATCTTCAATAGCTATAATACATATAAATTTATTGCTAGAAATAGTAAAATAAAACAATATTAATTATTTTTGTAATTTATTTTTTATTAATTATTTGAAACACTTCTAATTCATCATATTTACTACCACCTACTATATTAATGTTATTATAAGAAAAATTTGCACATTGAATAATATGATTTGACATCAACACCACCAAATAGAGCTGAATATGAACCATGATACTGAATTGCCCATCAATAATTATTAATAACATAACTAAACTGTGCAGAATTAATATTATTTCTATTACTAATATTAAAAATAAAACTTTCAGTTGTATTTTTAATTACACCCTCTCCATTATTTAAATTCCAATTAAGTGGATTAATTGATCTGAATTCTGTATTTTGCCAACTACAAGAATATTATTGAACTGTCACGTTTTCGTTTAAAAACTTGTTCTTAAGAAATCAGTTATTATTTATTTTAAACGGTAATGGTGATCATCACAGAAATTTTCCAAAAATCGTTACAGATTTATTAAAAAGTCAAAATATTCGTTACACGATTCAATGTCAGTTTTTTTATAGTTCTAATTAATATTAATTCATTTACATCAGATCTACTATGGACTCAAGAATTATAGTACTATCAGAAGTATTTTACAAAGGAACAAGGTGAAAAAAAATTGCTCTTTATATCTTCAAAATAAATAATACTCTGACATTTTGAAGCTTATTTAAAAAGAAAGGATTGCCTAGGAAATTTACCAAGAAGAAAGAAAATTCACAACTAACTAAAAATTACAGATATTTATTTATAATATAATAAAAATACAAATTTGTATCTAGATTAATTTATTTTTTTATCAATAATTTGAAAAACTTACAGTTCATCAAATTCACCATGATCTAATATCATGATGTATATATTCTTGAATCATTATCACTATGTATTTGACCATTTGAATGAAATAAAATACTTCTACCAAAACATGGCAATCACAAGAAATTGCATAACCATATTTTTAACTCTCAACAACATAACTAAATTGTACAGTATCAACATCATTTCTATCAAAAATATTAAATATAAACTTTGATTTGTACATTTACATTTCCGTCCATTCCAATCAAGTGGATTATAACAACCAATTATTTGTTCTGAATTTTTTATTTTAGCAATTACAAGAGTTTTTTTGATGATATCGCATTTTTGATGAAATGTAACTGGTTCTAGACCATCTCTCCTGCTGCAATACAGTAGTTTGAATTCATATTTGGCTTTTCTGAGCAAAGTGTATGGTGGAACTTCATGAGCAATCTTACTTGCAAAAAGCAAAGCTTGCTACTAATGATTGAGTGTTGTTGAAACTATTCTTAATGACAATAAATTTGAATTTTGTTGTTTCATCAGGAGTCAAATAATTATTTGAAATATTGTTTCACAAAGCTTCAGGAAATAACACTTGATATGGTTTAATTTTGTCAATAAATTCTTTGTTAGTGATACTTTGGAATCGAATTAAAGGAATGATTTTTTAAAATTTTTCTTTAAATTTATGAGTTCATCTTCATTTAACTCTGAAAAAATTTTTTCTCCATCCAATCCCCATTGAATGATATAATTCCAAATATCAATTTCTTCTAAATCCAAAACATCTTTTTTTAAAATAGATACAAGCATTGGTTCTTTGATATCTTTATAATCATTGGATTTTAGGAGACATGCTGATGTATTGCTAATTAATTTTTCAATATAGTCATTAAGTATATTGAGTGATTGATTCTTTGATGAAATTTGATATAGATTATTTAAACATCCAGTATCCATTCTTTTTCATTTGCAATCAAATAGTTTGTACATCATCAAGTAATTCATCAGATTCATCAAAATTTAATTCATCACATGCAACAATAAGTTCAACAATTTCATCAATATGAATAATATCTTGTTTTTAAAATAACAGAATGAGCTTTGAAGGTTTTCTCCAATTGTTATTTTCCATATCATAAAAATCCGATTCATTCAATAATCTTGTTAAATCATTAACAAGTTTATTGGTATGTTTTGATGGTAATGTTTGTTCAATTTTGTTTTTTCTCTATTTGTTTATTTTTTTCCAATGAGATTTTTTTTAGAATTAGAATGACAACGAATTGTAATGCATCACAACCGCCCCACCGCCATTCTTATGGTAATAACTATAGTGACGACAAGTGGTGGTAACCAAACATTCTTATGAAAAAAAAAAAATGAAAGTGACGCGTTAAAAAAAAATTATTATTGGTACTTGGCATTGTACAAGATTTTTTTTTACAGTTGCACAATTCATTAATAAATTCATTAAATCTAAATAATAAATATAACTAATGAATGATAATGATTGCTATAGATTCGAATCAGTTCAAATCAAATTATATATTTAATATTCGAATCAGAATCAAAGATTAGGTGATTCACATTTCATTGATTCGTTCGGAGCGCTTTGTCAAGAAACTTATCTAAATTTGCTAGGAATTGGTAGGACTTGGAAAATATCAGAAATCATCTAATAAACCATGGTCTTCTAGCAAGAGTCCATGGTAACATTAAAAGGATGCCTCAATGAAAAATTAAAATGGTTATTGATAAAAATATTGCAGAAATAGTAATAGTAAAGAATTTTCTGGAGAAGTTCATGGATTACCAAGTCCAGGAAGAAGTATCATTAGAATAACTCAGTCGGTTGTATTTTTACCAGCTGAAATGAGTTATAAATCAGTGTATAGAGATTTTATGGCTGGTCTAGAAGAAGATAGCAAATTGAAATCCTTAAAAAATGATGCATTTAGAAATTATGACATCAGAGATTCAAATTATGAGTCCAAGGACTCAATTTGTGATACTTGTCAACATTTTCGAAATGGTTTACATTACAATGCTCTCCGGGAGAAAGAAGCTAAAGAATTACTAAAAAATTTAAAGAAAATCTGTCCAAGGCAAGATTAGAAAGAAATTATTATAATAAAAATACTAAATTGACTGAAGACTAGTTGATCAAAATTATTCAAAGGGTAAAACACAATATTGTAGCATTGATACTACTGCACATTATAGTTAATGTTGCTTGACGAAATGTTACCACAGTTGCAAAAATATTACGTCAAATTCGTTGCCATTAAGTCAATAAAATATAAAGCTCGCAAAAAAAAAATTTATAAATGTATTTCCAATCTTTTCCTTTGTTTCATCAGTTATTCTCGAGGAACCAAGTTTTCTTTTGCTGAATACAAATTCAATTCCCACACACTCATTTACCGCTAAACTCGAACATTTCTTATATTAATTAATATTAATAACGTGATAAATGATAGGTATTTTATGTTCCAGGGTCAACTAATTTTAGTATATCAAATGAAAATTTTACGCAAAAGCTATAATTATTATTGTGTAAATAATTATGGAAGTTTTTATAATGTCAACATTGATTGATTAAGTTACTTTGCAATAGTAAACCCACCTATATTTATCTTTATTGTAGGATCAACGAAAATTTGTTAAAGATAACTTCTGGTCCTCGAAAAGGATAATTAACATTCTAATAAAATAAAACTCTGTAATAAGAGAGAGACTCTCTCTCTCTCTAATAGAATCATTATTTTTATTAATTGTTAATAAATTTTTTAAAAATAAAATAAAATAAAACGTTACTTTGTTAATAGCGCTTCGATAAAAGAAACAAGTATATTTAGTGCCTTGGTAAAAGGTAATAATTTTGGAGCTTTGGTAAAAGGCCATATTTATTTGCTTTAATGAACAAGCAAGCAAAGTTAGGACTAACGTTGGTTAACTAGTGAGTGTTAAAAATGATTAGTAATGTAACCTGCATTAGTGAGTAAGCAGAGTTTAGGACTAACATTGGTTAACTACCGGGTGTTAATGAAGTATCGTCCAAAGGTCAATAGAAATGTTATTGTAATCGTAAGGCCGTTAAACAAGCTACTTGAATTGTTTTGCAAGTAAACCAAAGCGAGTTTGCAATCGGCCAATAAATGTAAACAAGGGTAAACAACTAAAACAAATCGAATGTGAGAAATAATGTATATCCGTAATAAAATTTCCTTTTAACAACAATATATATCCTGTTTTACTTTCTAATGTCAACTTCTTATACGGGTATTTAGTGTTCCACGAAAGAGGGGAAACACGATCCACCAAAATAATAACTAGGCGTTGCTCTTATTATTAGACAATGAAGCCAAAGTAATGGTGTATAATGATAACTTTAGTCTGTGACGTGTGACTAAAGTGATAGAAAAATACTTATTATAGTATAATTTTGAGTTAAGACTATGCCTTCCAACTTTAATGATTGTTCATTTTCGTCATATGCACCATTGCCCTATAAAAAAATATTTTAGTCATTTGAGAGCAAAACTTTATTTATTATCAATAAACACGAGTCTTTAACATCTCAAGAAAAGGTATCAATGTATTAATTAAATGGCGATTTAAAATTTCCTGGTATTCCAAATTTTGTTTTAAACAATCAACTTTATTTTCTTTTCATTTGTGTGAGAGAAAAAAAAATTTTTTTTTAACACATCATTTTATATGAAAAAATGAGTGACAATAATTAACGTGATGATAATGTAATATTCTCAAGCAATGGGTTTGGTTAACCAATATATTAATTAATACTGATATCATTTTAGAAATGACATGAACTGGATTATTTAAAACCATTTTCAAAAAACTCCAACCATTTATCATGAGAGTTCCACTAAATATTTGAAAAAGTTAATTTTGTTTGTAATTAAATAAATAAATAATAATGTAAGTAAAATAAAAATATAATAATAAACCAGTTAGTTGTATACCTTTTTAAACATTTCTTTAACCTCTTCAAGAGCATCAGATGCTGATGGTCGTTCATTTGGATCATGTTCACATAGTTTTGATGCTAGATTTGAAAGATCTGTTGGAATGTTGCGGATATTGCTTGAAAATACCAAATGCCCAACTCCCCATAAGTCAACTTTCTCATCATGCTTTCCCCTTAATACCTCGGGTGCATGTTCATTTTCCTTGAGCTGCTTTAAAGCTTCTTGTGGTGCAATTTCAGCAGATTCAAAGTCAATTAAAATATATATTTCATTATGTAGGATTATGTTTGGCCATCTGATGTCTCTATGCATCAGTGGATGAGGTTTTATATTATGTAAATCCTATTAAAAATATTAAAAATATCATTAGATGTACATATATAATTAATTATATATGCAACGTATCTATATCAAAACCATAAGACCATCTCACTTTGATGCAAGTTAATATACAAGTTAATGCTCTTAGCAGTTCATTCAAATCTGATGGTTTTCTATCATCTCCACGAGGTCTCAAATGAACATTTCTACCATGTGAAGCAAATAATTCATCAACACATCTGATTTCATTGTCCTGTGTGTATGTAATGACTTTTAGAAAAAAAAAAATAGTGTAATACAAATGAACAAGAAAAAAGCATTGACTTACTTTCAACAACTTGTAAATATATTTTAAGTGATTAGCATCTTGTTCTGTGCAGAGAATTTTCTTAACTGTGTAACCAAGTTCTACTACATTCCCATTTAATCGATTTAGCACTTGAAACTCGGGATTATCTTTTTTTGGACATAGATCCAATATCATTGGTAGTAATCGACCTATAAAAGGTGAAAAATAATAAATTGGAATTTTATAAACAGTTTTGAAATCATTGCATATACTGTACTTACATATGTTTCTAATGTAAAACATTGCATTGATTCTATCCGATAATTTGTTTAAATCAAATACATTAAGACTTTCACTGTATATTCTTAGATTCTGATCATTTCTGGAGGTGGATTTATATAAAATAGCAAAGGTGACAAGAGCACCTTTAGCATGATATCCAAAAATGTAAGGGGCATCACCATAGTTCCAAGTTTCAAATTTTTCAATTAACTCATTCTCCGGTTTTTCTCTATCACCTCTTGGCTTTTCCTCACCACGAACAAGACAAAGATTTTCCACTAACATGATAAAATCAGGTCTACATTGTCCTAAAAGGCATTTATTTATTTATTATTATTATTATTATTATTATCACTATCATCTATTCTAATTGCCAATACAAAAATTCTATGGTTATCCACCTTTTTTTTTTAAAAAAAAAAAATTTCTTTTACCTGAGCATATATTATTGTTGGTGTTACGATCAAACTCCATTGACTTCAAGTTTTCACCAAATGTTTCAAAGGACTTTTTAATCACATCATCCCAGAAACTGTGATATGAATCTTCAGTTTCACCAGTTTTGTGAAGACTAATTATACTGGACAACAGATTTACAAAAAAAGATGTACAACTTTTGAAATTATTAAGGTAAAAGTATTTATCACGTCCAGTTTCATCTATTCTAAAGGGTCCAATTGTAGAAATTGAATTAAAAAGGGGTGGAGTAAGTGGTATTTTGATATTTGGTGGTTCTTTAAGAAATTGTTTAAGATTGTATCTATTAGGTATTTCATTAGGACTTTTGAGTAGTTCTCGTAAAATTTCAACAGAGACATCTACAAAAAAAAATATATAATAATGATCGATAATAATTCAGAAATAATAACAATAATAATAAAAAAGATTTTTAGTATATATTATATTAATAGGTAAATTATGTAATAATAAATATTAATATATCGAAGGGATGATGGACTTTAAACCTAAATAAAAATATAAAAAGAATTTCCTAGCAGAAAGAGGTAAAAGATAAAAAGGAAACAACAATCATAAACGAAATTTTATATAGTTTACACACCTTTCACCAGAATATTTGTTGTCACTAACACGTATTGCATAATAGCAAATATGAAAAAAAAAAAAAATGCAAGTTAGTCAACAAATAGAAATGAACATATAAGTAATTTCTTTTACTAACTATCATCCCAGAGATGTGTTACTATGAGCGTTAAAATATGCTCAACTTACCTCCTTAGTAGAAAGTAATGTTAAAGTTGTGAGTAGTATATCAAACAAATAAATAAATAAACGAATGAAAAATTTTTTTTTTTTTAATGCAATTTGTCCGTTACCTTCTCCTTTACTTATTTCTTTTTGATACAACTCGTCCCAGCTATCTCTCCTTTTCTTCGATTTCTCCAAATCTTTTATCAATCTACTTCTTCGCTCCTTCCACAACTCCTTCAATTCTTCATCATTTCCCCATTATTTTCTCTCCAGTTTCCCCTCCAACCCGTTCAAATCCTTTTTCGCCTCTTCATATTCTACTTCTGTCTTTTGTAATTGTTGTTTTATTCTTTCGATCGTTTCCATTTTTTTTTAGAATTAAAAAAAGTTTTTGGTAATTTATTAGACTACTTGATCAAAGTATCATCTGATTACGAAATAGTCTATTATTAAAGATTACATAATTGATCATGAATACATGATAGGATGTTAAGATATTTCACATCCAGTGCTAATTTGATCCTCTGAGCTGAAGTTGTTTGACAAAATGTTACCACAGTTGTAAAATTATTACGTCAATTCGCTGCCATTAAGTCAAAATGATGCAAGTAAAATTGCTTTAAAGGAGAATAAAATATAAAACCTCACTAAAAAAACTTATAAATATATTTCCGAGGTCTTTTTTTTCTTGTATATCCTAATACCTCCTTTGTTTCATGAGTTGTTCCCAAAGAGTTTAGTTTTTCTTTTGCCGAGTATAAATTCAGTTCCCACACACTCATTTCTTGCATTAATATTGATAACGTGATACTAATATATAATAAAATCGTCGATTAGGGATTCGGTACTTTATGTTCAAGGGTCAACTAATTTTAGTGTATCAAATGAAAAATTTTACGCAAAAGCCTTTTATAATTAATTGATCAAATTACTTTGCATCCTTATCTTTTATCCTTATTGTGGCGAAAATTTCATTAAAGATAACTTCGGGTCCTCATAGAGGAAAATAATACATTCTAATAAAATAAAACTCTGTGATATAATCATTATTTTTATTAAAAAAATTAATCGTTAATAAACTTTTAAAAATAAAAATATTGTCTTTATTTTCTTTGTTCATAGCGTTTCGATAAAAGAATAAAGTGTAGTTGGTCTTTAATAAAAGGTAATAATTGTGGAGCTTTGGTAAAGAGCCATGTTTATTTGTTTTAGTGAACAAGATTATGACTAACGTTGGTTAACTAGTGAGTGCTAACAACGATTAGTAACGTAATTTGCTTTGTAAGCAAAGGTTAGTCGGAAATACTGGTAGTATTATTGTAATCGTAAACGTAAGGTTGTTAAACAAGCTACTTAAGTTGTTTTGTCAAGTAAACCAAAGCGAGTTTGCACTCGGCCAATAAATGTAAACAAGGG